TTTATAAAATAAAAATCAAGTCCCCGTCTAAGATTGAAACTCATAGGGAACACATGAGCAGGCATATAAGGTTGCTGGTGACCACAATGATATACTGGTGAGTGGAAGAGGGTAAAGGCAGCAATGAAGACATGGGCTGAGTTCAGCCATGTTCCATAGACTCCTGTTGACCTGGAGAAGAGAGCGAGAAGAAGAAGGGCTGGTTGGTTTGAAGTGTGGTGAGACCTGGGGACACCTGAACCCATGGACAAAGGGCATAGCCACAGAGGGCTAGAACTGAGAGTGAAGCATTCAGCTGATATGAGGGGAGATGCACAAGAACACCCAAACTTGCAGATAGTACCCATTTGACCTAGCCTCAATGGCTTGATAATCAGAACTCAACTAGAGGAAGATTAAAAAAAACAAAAACAATTTTTGATAATGGAAACAAGGGAAAATTGCTAAAATTTGATGAACTTGACCTGTACTCGTGGATATGGTGGTGGTGGTGGTGATGTACCGTGGAGTTGGTTCTGACTCATAGTGACCCTGCACAGGGTTTCCAAGGCTGTAAATATTTATGCGAGCAGAAAGCCTCATCTTTGTCCTTAGGAACAGCTGGTAGTTTCGAACTGCGGACTGTGAGATTAGCAGCCTGATTCGTAGCCGCCACTATGCTACCAGAGCTTCTTATAGTCATGGATGTAGTAGCTCAAAATACCAACAGAGAAGTATCACGTCAAGTATCAATGCTGTCCCCTCTGTATAGAGGGTAGATAGGGACAGGGAGCTTAGACATTGGCTAAATGAGGGGGCGATATAAAGGCACGAAGTGTCTGGTTTACAAGGTTTCAAGGGTGTTTAAGAGTGTCGGGGGGAAGATAAGAGTCCCCACTGAATAGTTTTCATCTTGTCTAGATGGGTCTGGTTAAAAGAGATGGGAGTAAGATTCTTGTGATTCAGTTGTGAGTAATTGTTACCCTGACTAATTGCGACTCACAATTTTAAAGGTAGACTTTTGTAACAAAAATGGGGGAGGAGTTAATCTTACAGTCCAGAAACAGAGGACCTTATCCAGAGAAGCAGGGACACCAGAGATGGAGGCAGAGATGGATTACCACATGGAGAGAAGCAACAGCTGAGGACTCTAGATTCATGGAAAGAGAGGGAGTGAGAGCTGGTGGCCTAGGCAGAGTTGCAGAATGTGCCCTTTGGTGGTTTAAATTATATATGCCTGAGTGTTTTTTTAAAAAGAGAGAGCTAAAATGAATAGAGAGAAATACTATTAACTGATGGTACATGGAGGTGATTATAATCATTGTAATGAAACAAAGTATATGATTTGTTGAATGTAAAACTGCTGATCTGCCCTGTAAACTTACACTGAATTCACAATAAAAATTAAAAAAAAACAAACAAGTAATTATTCTTGTACCTTAGACCAGTGGGAAAATATTTTTATAAAGAAGACAGCGTAGGATGTAATGATTGTATCATTGACAACTTTTGTATAGTCATTAATTTTATGAGGCAGTTTGCTAATCATGACATGTAATGTTAACTAAAGGTATTCTGTAAAATACCATCCATTTAAAAAAATAAAACGGAAAACAAGGGTTGTGCTGATCTGCTGATTGCAGGGTGAGAACCTAGAACTTAAGGAGTTGTGAACTCCATTGCCTCCAGGGATCAGGCAGTAAACAGGAAACATGTGAATGGGGACTGCCAGAATGGTAGCAAACCTGTGGCAAGCAGGTCCTACCTAAAGACATTGAAATTCAGAATTGGTAGAAAAGATTGTCGGGTGGAGGTATGTCTGACCTCCGCCTTACAGGAATCAGCCTTGGATGGACATCTGGCCAAATAAAACTTGGCCTGCTGGGTTCTAGTTTATAGTCCCTGATTTAGATAGTAGATCAAGAACCAATGGTGAATATCAGAAAACCTTCCCTCCCCAGAAAAGTGTATCGACACTCAAAACTCTGTATATAGTTTGGGGATTTAAGTCCCCAGTTAAGGACTCTTGTAGAGGAAAGGAAGGCTTATGTATGGATGGTTAATTCTAATTTAGGAAGTTTTTCCAGAGGAGACATTTTAGTCCCTAAATAAAAGAGGAGTGGACTTTGATGAAAGAAGGGAAGAGGTTGAATAGTCAAGGGCTTGTTGCCAGGGCAGCACAGTTACTTACATGACAGCTCCGATGTCTTTTTTTTAATCTTTGGGAAGGTGGTTAATTTCTTTCTTTCTTTTTTTTTGCTTCTTTGCATAGTTCAGGATTTTTTGATTTCTGACTAAAGCTGAATCATTACTGTTTCACATCTCTGTCAATGTAGATAATTTGGGTTAGGAAGACAGTGTTTTAATGTACTAAAGAACGGTATTGAAGAACAGAAATAGGCCATTAATTCAGAATCCAATTGAGATTACTTTTTTGTTAGTGTTTTCTTTAATGTAGTTGTTCCTCAAGATTTTTATATTCAGCACATTTTCATTGATGCCTTCACTGTGAAAATTAAATTTGCTTTGCACATCTAATCCCAGTAAGCATAAAATGCTTCTTAGCTTGGGGTTCCTATTTAACAAAATGTGTGCCTGCACACTTGAGGTACTTTAAAGTGAAGTTGTGTTTGATGCAGTGTACCTTGAGGAATTTTTTTTTTTTTTTCTTTTTTCAGTTTAGAAGCTGAGCAAGCATGAAAAAAGAAATACTAAAGCCCCTAGGCTCACTGGTTGCCTAAAGTAGCAGGGCTGTTGTGTGTGTGCGCACATGTGCCTATGTGTGTGATAGTTTGTTTTGTTTTAAGGCTAGCCAGTACTGCAGTTTTACATCCAAATTCTTGGACCTAACTTTTGAGGTTTTCCTGTTAACATTTGATGAGTACCTACCATATTCCAGGCATGCTGATAGACACCAGAGATACAGAGATGAATAAGACCTAGTCCTGCCCTAAATAACTTAGGTAACTGGGATTGATGTGAGGAGTGAGAATGTAGTGAAGGATCTAGACAGTAGAGACCAGGTCTTTGAGACTTCAGATAAACAGTGTACATGTGTGAGGTAGATCCAGCAAGACCCTTTGAAGACAGTGGCATCTTGAAAAGTTGGTAGGTTTGCCCATTCCATCTTTGATATTTGTTTTATAAAGAGCACAGCATGTTTTTAATTTTCACTATGTTTACATATGTACACATACAACAAAAATATTGCCATTTTAACTATTTTTCAGTGTGTAATTCAATGACATTGATTGCATGCACCATGTTGTGCACTCATCACAACTATCCATTTTCAGAAGTTTACGTCCTGCCTGAGAGAGCCTTAGTACCCTTAGACAGCAATTCCCAATACCCCCAGCCCTCAGCCCTTGGTAGCTACTAATAAACACTGATCTCGATGCATTTTCTTAGTCTAAATGTGTGATCCCATGTATGTGACATATTTTTTGTCTGACTTATTTCACTTAGTATACTGTTTTCAGTGTTCATCCATGTCTTGACAAGTATCAGAACTTCATTTCTCTTCATGGTTGAATACTATTCCATTGTATATATGAAGGGAACTTCAAAAGGTGTGTGGAAAAATTCCATTGTCTTTCAATTCCATTTTACAGATAACTTTTAGAAGTCCTGTCTTATGTGCCACATTTTGTTTTCTCTTCACCTTCTTATGGACACTTAGGTTATTTCCATCTTTTGATTATTCTGAACATTGCTGCAGTGAATATTGGTGTAGTAGTATCTGTGTGAGTCCCTGCTGTCTTTTGGATTACATACCTGTGGTGTAATTGCTGGGTCATATGGTGATTCTATATTTAACTTCATAAGAAACTGCTAAATTGACTTCCAGAGTGGTTGCACCATTTTACATGGCCTTAGGACTAGTGCTGTGGGTTAATGCACTGGACTGCAAAGTCAGTTTTAATCGCAAGGTGTTGGCGGTTCAAACTCACCAGTTGCTCCTCAGAAACTCTATACCAGGTCACTGTGGGTTGGAACTGACTTGAAACACTTAACAACAACAACAACAACAAGCAGTGGATCAGAGTTTCAGTTTCTCTGCATCTTTGTCACACTTGTTTGCCCTTTTTTCTCCTAATAGTCGTTTTAGTAGGGGTACATTGAACTCTCATTGTGATTTTGATGTGCATTTTTCTAATAACTAATGATGTTGAGCATCTTTCCATATGCTTGTTTTGTATATTATCTTTGTTATTTCCTATTAAAATGTCTGTTTAAGTACCTTGTCGTCCCCCCTCCCCATTTTCAATTGGTTTTTCGTCTTTTTGTTATTGAATTAATGGGAATTGTTTACATATTTTAGATACTTGAGCCTTATCAGATATATAGTTCCCAAATATTTTCTCACAAAAGTTTCTCACATTCTCTTCACTTTGTTAATAAAGTCATTTAATGCACACACATTTTTTATTTTGCTGACTAAGCTTATTCTTGATTGAAAAAGGAGCAAATTTAGTTAAGGTAAATACACAGAGCATACCACTGGCTCAGGTTCAAAGAACCAGAGATTACAGGATAACCCAGAAGTGAGATACAGATCCAGCGAGGAAGAGAGTGAGGGGTTGCTGCTTGTCCGTTATATTGGGAGCGGGCCACACCCCCAAGGAAATATCTTTTCAGTTGATTGACTGCTTCTAGCCAATTATCATAGAGTTAACTATCAACTGTGAAACAGCTGGGAATCCTGGCTCAATCAAGTTGATACAGAACCTTAACTATCACAGAGACTTTTGGAGTTTAGACTTTATAGGCCACCTGAGGCACTGTCTCCTGCTTTTCTCTTTATTTCCAGCTACAAAGTGGTCTCTCAGTTGTATAGCTTGTGTGCCAAGAGGCTTTTTGTTCCATGAGTGGGGAATTTACAAGTATTTCCTACTATTAACTCATGACATCCCAACTTTGTTGGTTTGTGTTGATTTTCCAAGGTTGGATTTCTAGAAGAGCTATCTTGCTTATTGTATCCCGTGCTTACAGCCTTTTCTTCCTTCTCCCCATGACAGACGGAAGGAGTTACAAAGCGCCTTGCAGAGAAAAATGACTTTGTGATTTTCCTGTTTACACTTATGACAAGTAAGAAGACATTCTTACAAACAGCAACCCTCATTGAAGATATTTTGGGCGTTAAAAAGGTGAGCTGTGTTCTCAGGCAGGTGGATGTCTTGATGGGGGAGAGTGTCCCAGATGATTGGATTCTTAAACTTCAATTTTGTACAGAGCCCATTTAGAAGACAAATTCCTCCATGCTTATGTTTAATTACAAAGTGCTTCCGAAAGTTTGGCAATTTTATCATCTTTTAACTCCATTTTTCCACAAAATTTTTGAAGCCTCCTACATTTTTATTGTTGTTGCTGTTGTTAAGGATCTGTCCAGTTGGTTCTGACCCTATGCACAGCATAACAAAATACTGCTCACAATAAATTCCAGTAAAAATTAAACTAGACTGTTCATTTACTAATAGGTCTTATGTGACTATGATACATAAGCAAGTACATGAATCGAAATTAAACTAAGTATAAAAGTTCAGATTGACTTCATGAATTTAATGTAATGGCTTATGTTTTTGCCCTTCACTGTGAATTACTATGGTGTAAATTCTTTTAGCATTTCTTTACTACTGTAAAGGAGCCCTGGTAGAGGAGTGCATTAAGCATAGGGCTGCTAACTGCAAATATGGTGGTTCAAATCCACTAGCCACTTCACAGGAGAAAGATGAGGCTTTTTGCGCCCATAAAGAGTAACAGTTTCAGAAACCCTGAGGAGCAGTTCCACTCTGTCCAGTAGGGTCACTGTCAGTGAGTGGAGTTGACTTGTTGGCAGTGGGTCTAGGTTACTGCTGTGTGCTGTGTGGTGACTCTAGTGCCCTACCACTTTTCTTATATTTGAACCTCCATGAAACCTTCATCCATTAATGCATGTTTCCTTTATGGTTATGTTTGAGCTTATTAAGTCCACCTCTATTTTTTCTCATTAACTGTCAATTATTAAAGTTGGTCAGTTGGTCCCAACACAGTAGAAGATACAAGATGAGTACTGAAATCCTGCCACTTGGTCAAAGGTGGCCATTCAGATGATTCAGACTATGCTTTTTAAAAACAAATAACCAAACTATGAAATGAAAACATTAAAATATCTTATTAAAAACTCACGGACATTTCCCCGGCCCCACCCCCTACCCCCCCAAATCTGTTAACCCTGTTATAGAGAATCATTGTTAGATTTTTTTGTGTTGTACCTGCTAGGTATTGGAGTTAACTTTATTTTTTTAAAGTTTTTATTGTGAATTGAGTGATAGGTTACATGGGAGAACATCGATTTTACACCCTTTGTTTCATTGCAATGATTACACTCTCCTCTGTGCATCAACATTCAACAGTATTTGCTTCTATTCCTTCTGTGTGGAGTTTTTTGTTTTTGTTTTTAATGTACACAAAAACACTCAGGAATAGATAATCATTTAAACAATCAAAGGGCACAGTTTGCAAACCTGCCTCTTGGCCACCAGCACACACCTTTCTCTTTCCATGAGTCTAGAGTCCAGCTTCTCTGTCTCTCCATGTCCTCATCTCTGCCTCCATTTCTGGTGTTGCTGCTTCTCTGGATAGGGTCCTACATTTCGCTGTGCTCTTCTCCCTTGGTGGTCCTAGGGTCCTCTGTTTCTGGCCTGTAAGATTAACTGCTCCCCCGTTTTTGTTATAAAACTTCTACCTTTACAGTTGTGACAGTCACAGTTAGTCATGATAACAGTTACTCACTATTGAATTAAGCTGATTTTAATAATAGCCTTCTACATATATATTTTAAGAGCTTTGGTAGTGTAGTAGTAGGTTATGAGTTGGGCTGCTAACTGCAAGTCAGCAGTTCAAATCTACCAGCTGCTCAAAGGAAGAGAGATGAGGCTTTCCACTCCCACAAAGATGTACAGCCTCAAAAACCCTATGCAGGGTTGCGATGAATTGGAATCCACGCCACACACATAACCACCACCACCATACATATTTTTGGAATCCTGGTGTGGCACTATAGAATAGGTACTGGATTACTAATAACAAGGTCATCAGTTCACACTCACCAGCCTTTCCTTGGAAACCCTGTACAGCTATGAATTGAAACCTACTCTCCCAGCACTCAACAGTGATACTCATTTTTGGAGTCTTGGTGTGGCTCTATAGGGTAAGCATTGAATAGCTAACCGCAAGGTAGGTGGTTAAAACCCACCAACTGTGGAGCTAACTTAACTTGCTCTTGTTCCAAGCTTTCATTTTGATTGATAGACTTTTTATCATATCACTGAGGAGGTAGAAGCTGTCTCCTAGGGGTTTTGTTTTAGGGAAAAGGGTATATCCATGTGTACTGTGGTGACCCCCGCTTTATTTCTGTTTTTCTGCTGCATTCTCCTTACACCCTGCTTGCCATCACCCGTTCATAGAAAGTACAAATGACCCATTGTCTGTGGAAACACATTGGAGATGTGTACAGGCCCCAGACAGACTTTTTGTGCCCTGGATGAAAAGGCGTTGTTATTTTTTCCAGTAATTGTGTTCTCCCAGCAGTGTGTGGAAGGGGCCTTCAGTGCAGGAACTCAAGACTCCCTGGCAGTCTCAGCATAGTAATCTAGGATCGTGCCTTAACAATTTTTCCTGCTTGCCCTCTTAGCCCCCCACCCACCACCACTACCACACCCCGTTTCTGTGTTGCCTAAACTGGTGAACCCGCTAGACATTATGGGTACTTTGCTGACATTTGAAAAAGTGATAGGAACCACAAAGAAAATGAAAACCCATGATTAGTATCCAGAATATATAAATTCTTACAAGTCAGTAAGAAAAAGACCTAGTATAAAAATGGGCAATGATTGAACAGGCATTTCACAGAAGAGAAACAGGTGGCCTGAAAGCATAAGAGAAGATGCATAACTTTGTTGATAATCAGAGACATGTCAATGAAGGAAGAACACCATGAGCCTGCACAGATACTGGTGAGAATGTTGATAAGTGAGAATGCTTACCTGCTGCTCATGCTGTCTCTTGTGGTTAAACGTTCACTTACTCTTTGACTCAGCATCTAGGAAAGCACTGCTCTAAGGGCTTGTTGTTGTTGTTGTTATGTGCTGTGGAGTCGGTTCCGACTCATAGCGACCCTGCACAGGGTTTCCGAGGCTGTTAATCTTTACGGGAGCAGAACGCCTCATCTTTCTCCTGCGGAACCGTTGGTAGTTTCGATCTGCTGACCTTACGGTTTGCAGCCCGATTCATAACCACTATGCTACCAGAGCTCCTTGCTCTAAGGGCTTAGGTATCAATATTTTGGCACAGGCCACCTGTTAACTGTGCCCAGGCACACTGGTTGGGAAGTTCAATCCTAGAACAGTGATTCTTAGAAATGAAAGGCCTGCTATCTATCAATTACTGTTTTCTAAGGAGTGCCTGGTAGATTTGAAGTACCAACATTAAGGTTCATAGTCCATTGCTTATCCTACAGCATCACACCAGAACTCCGTATCTGTCAGTAGAAAATGGGTAAATGTTCTCTACTCAACACAGTGGAATATGCTGAAGTAGTGAAAATGCATGATGAACATTTGGTATAGGCACAACATTGCTGAATCATGGAAATTATTGAGTGATAGAAGATTATATGTTTCATTTTTATATAAAGCTAAAATATTAGCAAAATCAAAGTATAAATGTGAAAAAATATTTTTTAAATGACAATGCAATAATAAAATTCAGGATTGTAGTTACTTTCAGCAGAGAGCTGCTTCAAGGAAAGGACACACAGCTTTTTGTTTTTTTTTGTATCATAATATGCAGCAAATAAATATCAAATAAAAATTAAAACAACGAAAGGAATAGACTTCTTAACTGGTGAACTGTCCCGAGTTGTTCCTGTTGTTTCCAACTTGAATCTGATCTTGAGTTGTAACCTGTGTGGCGCTTTGGATTAATTAATGCGCAAGACTGCAAAGCTGTTTGAACTGCAAGGTCAGTGGTTCAAGCTCACCAGTTGCTCCTTGGAAACCCTATACATGGTCTGTATAGGTTGGAACCAACTCAACAGCACTTAACAACAACAACTTCCTTAATGGACTACATAATTGTGGAAAGAAAAATAAATGGATTTCAGGCATGATAGACTGGTTTGGGATCCATAAACTGATTTAGACTGGGCCAAAGGGACTGATGGACTGAAAGTTATTTTCCAATAATAGCAGTTACCATTTATTGTGTTCTGGAAAAGGGAAAGGAACAAAATGGGAGAAACTGCTTCCAAATTCTTCCACAGATAACTCTTGTCCTCCTCCATTGTCAGGAATAAAGAGTAGGTTTCTTGAGGGCATCTAGGAGTCATTCACTTGTTCAGTACACATTTACCGACATCCTCTCTGCCGTGTTCCATTCTTTCAAGCACTAAAGAGCAGAAAAGATAATACCCCCTCTCAAGGCATGTGGCAGATTGTTTAGGAAATAGATGCAGGAACACTTAGAAGACCATGTGATTTGTGCAGTGATAGAGAAATACTCATCTCAGTGGAAGTTAAATAACTTGTTGGAGTGAAGTATAGCAGGTATTATCTGAGGATGGTTCAAAACGAGAAAAGATCATGTAGCATCTTAACGAGGGAGAAAAATTATAACAAAATAACACATTTTATAAAGTTCTTTAACTTGATGTAGGGTAACATCAGCCTTAATGTTGAATCTTTGGAAATCTTTTGATTCAAGTCAGGAAACAGACAAAAATGTCTGCTCTCACTTTAGGTAAATGGTCACGTGACACATGTTCACATGCAATCCTTTGCAAGATTGCTTAATATAAGTGAAATATTGTAGTTCACCTAAATATACATAAAAAGAAGAATGATTAAATTGTAGGGTTGTTGTTAAGTGCCGTTGAGTCAGTTCCGACCCATACTGACCCTGAATAGGATTTCTGAGGCTGTAAATCTTTACAGGAGCAGAAAGCCTCATCTTTCTCCCACGGAGCAGCTGGTAGTTTCGAACTGCTGACCGGTAGTCTATCAGAAAATAAACTAGAGCTACTTGGATCAGTGCTAAATGTGTTGAATCCAAAGTAAGATCCAGAATGACTAAGATAGTATGTTAATATTCACAAGAACCTCAAGCATGTAAAACAATGCCATATTTTTAATATTGTTGTTAAGTGCCATCGAGTCGGGTCCGACCCATAGCGACCCTCTACAGGGTTTCCGAGGGTGTAAATCTTTACAGGAGTAGAAAGCCTCATCTTTCTCCCGCGGAGCGACTGGTAGTTTCGAACCGCTGAACTTAAGGTTCGCAGCCTGATTCGTAACCACTACGCTACCAGAGCTCCTTATACTTGATAAATATGAAAACATAGGAAATAATAAACACAAAGTGGTTCTCTCTGGGGAGATAGTGGTTATCTATGGGGAGAGGAATGTGATTGGGCAAGGATACACTGAGGCCTTCAGCTATATTTGGAATATTTTATTTCTTTAAAAAAAAAAACAAACCTGTAGCATGAACGATAATTTATGATTTGGTAAAAACTTGAATAGTAGACCTTTTTCTCTTTTTTTAAATAGGCAAAATGAGTCTACACCAGGAAAGGTAGGATAAACAATGGTGTCCAAAGTGTCTGATCCTTAGACCAACAGATAGGTGCTACCATTAGTCCTGTTTCACAGGTAAGCAAGCAAAGCTAAAGGAGACACCAAACATTACTTAAGGTTGCACAGCTGCAAATTGCAGAGTTGGGATTTGAACCTAAGTGGTCTTGGTACTAAACCCCATTCTTAGTGCAAAAGGGGACACACCCCTCCAGGCTCTTGAATGAACTTAGCATAGGGTTTGTTTGTGTCTTCTGTAGGAAATGATTCGACTAGATGAAGTCCCCAATCTGAGTTCCTTAGTATCCAATTTCGATCAGCAGCAGCTTGCTAATTTCTGCCGGATTCTAGCTGTCACCATTTCGGAGATGGATACAGGGAATGATGACAAACACACGCTTCTTGCCAAAAATGCCCAGCAGAAGAAAAGCTTGAGCTTGGGGCCTTCTGCAGCCGAAATCAACCAAGGTAAAGTCTTCAAATTCTCAGCATTTTGAGAATTGTAACTCTGAGACCCCTTCCTGCTGTATCTCGCTTTTCCCATCTCTCTATAGAGATTGATCCTGGAGGGCTCCTAAAGTCGACTTAAACTGTGTAAACTTTATGTGTGTGCTTCTGTTTGTTAGATTCCAGGGGATAAGCTCATAACTTTCATCTGATTCTTAAAGGGGTCCAGACCTCAAAAAAGTTAAGAATCACTGTTATCACAAGTGCTTATACCTTTTGGTCCTCTAAACCCCTTCTGAGAATTTATCCTGTAGATATGACATATATGCTAGGCTATTCCTTACGTTACTTACAATAACAAAAGACTGGAGACTCTAATATCCTAGGTTATATAACCCAACAAGAGACTATTTAAATTATAGTATATTTGTATAATGGAAAATTGTATAATTTTTTTTAAATGAATATTTCTATGTATTGATATGGAAAGACTTCTGAGATATACTAATAAAAAAGAAAACGCTGAATAATATATAATATACTTTATGTAGTGACAGGGTGGAGAAGGATAATTTGTGCATAAAGAAACTGTAAGGATACACAAGAAACCTCAAGGGATTACCCATTGGGGTTGCCTGGTAACTGGGTGGAGTGGATAGCATCAGCAGTGGAACTAGGACTTCTTTATATTTTTTTATTAATTTTAGAGCATATACATGAATTTTTAAAAATACTCTATTTCATCTAGCCCTACTTAATGTTTTTCAATAGCACATGAACCGTGTTGTATTGATAAAGTATCCTTATCTAAGTGAACCGTGAGGAAAATTTAGGCATACATTTGTTGTGGCAATATGGGTATAGGTGATTCATATTGGAACTAAAATATTTGTGTATCTTACCAGCTAGTTCTTGAAAATTAGCAGGCTAGAAATCCTGTAGATGTAAAAACCTATCATTGTACACTTAGTATTAACCAAGATGAAATAATAAAAATGTATCATTAAAAAGCAGCAGTAGGAAATCAGGACCATTCAAGACAGTCCTGATGATGCTCTGGAAACAAGACTTTCTGAAGTTCAGTGGACTGGATGTGTATGTTCCCAGGACTAGCTCTGGAGAATCGCTAAGTGCTACACAGTAGTCTCCCTTCTTCATACTGAGTCTTAAGTCCTCCATTAACTTTGTTAACATTCTAATTGTAGCTTAGAACACCATATGTTTATAATTGTACTTTCTAGGTTATTGGGGAATATGACTTTACATGCTACTAATATGTACAGACAAAAGTATGTGGACTTTGTGGATCTAGAGTAATGGTTTGCTATCCAGCCTGTGTCTCTTCTGTGCCCATAGGCCTTCCTTGGTCTGTGTAGAGTTGGTTTTTTCCTCCCTCCCACCCTTCCTCTTTTTTTTTTCTTTAATGACCTGGGGAGTTCACTTTTCATAAATGATCAAATATACATGCTTAAAATGTGAGTCTTCTTATGCTTCAAAGCTGATTTAAATACACATTAACATACATGCTCAATGACAAAAGCTAATGTTTGTTAAACTCGTCACGTGGCCAAAAGAATGCCTGAGTGATATGAACAGTTAACCTGATAGGTTTCTAACAGAAAAATTGGAGGTTTGGGCCTACACAGGGGTGCCTCAGAAGAGAAACCTGGTGATATGCTCCTGAAAAATTCGCCATTGAAAATTAACAGGCTAGAAACCCTATGGAACACAGTTCTGGTGACACACTTGGGGTTACCTTGAGTTGGAGTTGACACAAAAACAACTTAGGGAAAAAGTGTGGCAGACACTAAGCTAATGTTTTGCATGTTGTTGTTAGGTGCCATGGAGTCAGTACTGACTCATAGCGACCCTGTGTACATCAGAACAAAGCACTGCCTGGTCCTGCGCCAACCTCACAGTCGCTGCTCTACCTGAGCCTGTTACTACTGCTGCCGTGTCAGTCCATCTCATCTGGGGTCTTCCTTTTTTTCTCCAACACTCCTTTTTACCAAGCGACTATTTTGCATAGAAGTTATTTAATCCTCTAAGCATCCCTGTGAAATAGAAATGAGGTATCTTTTTGCATTGGTAAGGAGAATGAGGGTAAGATAGGTTCAGTTTGGGATAGCTGTGTAGGCTGAGACATTGAGTAACTCATCTTACAGTTTCTCATTTTAAGAATATGGTCAGTTACTATTATCCTGCTGGTATTCATCACCTTCATATACTGGTTTTAAAGTCTTTATTAAATACTAAGTTTATTTTATGTCTGTATGACAAGACCATGTGTGGTGCAGTGAATTATTTAATGTCTCTTCTAGCTATTGTTGTTAGTTGCCGTCAAGTAGGTTCCGATTCATCGTGACCCGGTGTAGGGTTTCAAGTAGTTGCTGGTGGGTTTGAACTGCTATGGTTAGCAGTCCAGTGCTTATCTTATAGTGCCACACCAGAACTATTGTGTTTGTAAAGTCCAACCAAATTAGTTTTTCCTGATGAGTCTAGGTAAGAGAAGGTGGGGGAATTTGCTGATGGATGATATGATTCAATTGTCAGTGATTGTTAATAGGGTTAATTATGATAAAGACAGAGCCATGGACTTCCTGGCTTCAGGAGTAAGTAAAACTGAGTGTCTTTGGGCTGGAGATGCACTTGTGTAGTGAACTGCCTCTAGGCACTTAATTGGGGAACTAGGTTTGCTTGACCCACAGATCTGGAGCTTAGTGCCCTTGGGCAAAGTAGAGTGCCCTTTGGGTATCAATAGCCCTAAAAGAGTTATGTAGCATTGCTGAGGACCCCAGAGAGATAGAGAGGCCTGTAGGCACAGCTGAGGAGAGGCTAAACATTTTTGACCCTGAATTGTAATTGGTTAACTTCCCTAATAACTCTCATAACTGAATATGGTGTCTTTGAGCTTTATGTCGCCATTCCAAGTAGAGCATGCTGTGGGAAGGGATGGTGATGCCATTGTTTGGGCAGTTGACATCAGGAGTAGGGTTCATGGCAGTAGTTCAGACTCATGAAAGCCTGGGGCATTGTTAAGAAAGAACAAAGAGGCGTGGTTGAATTCAAACTTTTGATTTATAGGTAGTTACATTGGTTATTGTTACCTGTAATGGAAAGGAATGTAAGAGATGTTATGCTGCCTCTGAGAGGAGAAAAGCTGCTACTAGAGTCCCCTGGGGTCTAACAGATGGGAGCCTGGGCCTTCCTGATCCACCCTGCCAGCCAGAGACCAAGGCCATATGGAAATGGTTATTGGTTATCTTGATTACTGAGAATTTGCAAGCATGCTCTCCAACTATATACTTGATTGGATATGCTAAAAGAGGAGTTAGGGCTGCCCTGAAGGAATCGGCTTTATTTTAAGCCAGTAGCCTGTGTATAGAATATGGGGACTTGAGAGAACAGGATGTTTACCTGTAAGGGAAAGATACTGCAGAATAAAAGAAAGACTTGCTCTTTTGAATTCTGAGCAAGAAGTTTGCTGTTGAATAAATCATGGCAGGAAAAGTCTGTGCCCATCAGAGAAAACCCCTGTCTAGGAGAGGCTGCCTTCAACATTTTTAAGCCAGAATTGTAACCTGTTAGCTTCCCTAAGAAACCTCTTAACTGTAAGTGTGGCGCCTGTGTACTGTGTAGCCATTGTGATAAATGATGGAAGCCACCTGAGTAGAGTCTGTGGACGGGAAGATCATCAGTGTCGCTCTTACACCTTGTCTGTGTCTACTTGTAACTTTTGACATACAGTGTACATGTTATAGTTTAGCATATGAGTTGTGCAGGGTATAGCCCTTCCTTCCCCACCTGTCTGTCCATCCTTTTTACTATCTGTCTCCCTGCCACCTTACACATGCACATGTTTTCTCTAGTCACGAGTGGATTAAAAAGATCTTAGTCCTCAATGTTGTCAGTCTTTAATTGAACACCAACCAGCACTAAATACTTTTAAATGGAGGTTTGGAAAGCTGTAGGATGTTGCCAAAAATTCTTACCTAGCCAAATAATGATTTATGTTGTCTTTCTGGATCAGAGAATAACAATGATGTATTCCTTTTAGGGAGTCGTAGAACTACCACAGATTTCCACAAGTTATTTGATAAATATCAATAAAACTCTTAGAATTTGAAGGACTATGCTGTGCTGGCTTGTCAGTCCCTGAGTTCGTATGTAAATTGCTGAGTATAATTGAGCCAGTGATTTTTCTGAGGGGGAAGAGCCACTGCTTTCAAGCCATAAGTCAGTCACAAAAGCATAAGACTGTTGGGGTGTACTTCAGAGTCCCCCCCACCTGGGTGCTGGCTGTGGCAGTATGCAGGAATAGGGAAACTGGGTCTTAAGAACTAGCCTGTGAAGAACAGTTAAGGAGAATAGAGCTGTTGACCCTGCAGAAAACAGTTAAGAATAAAAAGCCAGCTGTAGTCAGCTATGTGAAGATTAGGACGTAGACTCATCTTATTTGTTTGAAAAAAGCAATCTGAGGAGATTTCAAAAAGCTTGTAGAAAGATTCTCTTATCTTTTCATTCCATTTTCCCACGACCTTTTAAAAAATCTTAACAATATAGATGGAATAGCTGGTAAAAAGCATAAAGCTTTACCAAACTACTTGATGTTTGCCAAGCAGATAACGAAAAACTGAGATGTCAGTGTAGCTGTGATAGTTTGTTTTTAAGTGAGGTGAAATACTATTTTATAGCCACTCTGTAATTCAGTAGTGAATTGAAAAGGGGATCCAAGATTATTTGCCAAGCTCTTTAATGGGCAGCAAGTTTATATAACTTCATATAATCTTCAGAACTAAATTGAGGTGGTAGTCTTATTTTTACTTTGTTTTCATTTCAAAGAAATTGCTTTAATGCTAAAATTCTTTTGACTTTACTTTGATTTCTCATAAATGTTTTACACATGTATAGAAGCAGACAGAAGGATATCATGATCTCCCATGTATTCATCACCCATTTTCATTAGTGATCAGTTCATGAGCTGTCTGGCTTTTATCTATACTCCTATCCACTCGTCCCCATCTCACCTGGAATTATGTTGAGTTTTTGTTTAGGTGATATTTTTACATCATTCAAAATCCAAAGTTTCAAAAAGTGTCCTTTGAAAAGTTTACCTCCACTCTTGAACACAGAGTTCTAGTTCTATGCGTCTGTGGCAACCACTGCTGTTGATTTCTTTTACATTCTGCCAGAGAGATTTAATACAAATATTATTGTTTTAGTTAACTGCTGGTGAGTCAGTTCTGACTCACAGTGACTTTGTTTAGGGGTTCCAAGGAGCAGCTGATGAGTTTGAACTGCCAAATTGGGCCAGTGCTTGTCCTATAGGGCCACACCAGGACTCCAGTACATGTATGAATGTAAGCATTCAGATATTCATCTCATCTGAAAGAATGTTTAAAAATGGATGCCGCATTTGAATCTGGTCTCCTTGCCGCTGAAGGTTTATTATGTTCTCTTATGTTGATCAGAATTCTCATCTTGCTTTTTATTATAAGTAAAATGATATTGGCAGAAAAAGGAGTTAAGTGATTTTTTCTTTACCTAAAAAAAAAAAATTTCCTCCAGTTAATACATGCTTGTTACAGAAAAATCATAAGTAATTTATAAAACAGCATTTCTTTCCTGTCCTATTAGAAACAGCCACAGTAAATACACCAAGCCACCTTGGTATATGTTTTTCATTCTTTAGTCATGTGTGTACTATGTGTATAATTTAAAGGAGCAAATTTTTAATTTTCATAGAAAATGGGTAGAAACCAGTACTGTTTGTTTTTTTCCTCATGGCACTGTGTGTTAATGTACTAGACTGTGAAGTTGGTTTGAACCACAAAGTTTGTGGTTCAAGCTCACCAGCCGCTCCTCGGAAACCCTATACAGATTCGCTATGAGTCAGAACCAACTCAACAGCACTTAAGTGATTGAAGCATTGCTTTTTCACTGTATAAAGATGTATGTGTCATTGTTCTTAGTGACTTCTTTGTATTCCATTGCATGGATGTATACTTAATTAATCCACTACCAATGAACACTTAGTTATTGCCACCTCTGTTGTTGCAGAAATCACATCACAGAGCCCCATTTCACAGATATCTTCGTATATATGACTATTTCCTTGTAATTTTTTTCAGAAATGGGCCTGTTGTCTCAAAGACACACAAATTTAAGGCATAAAGACTACAATATATATTCCCACAGTAGCTATGACAGCCTATTTTTCTGGTCTTGCTAAAAATGTAACTTTATTTCTGTAACTTTTATTTTCTGTTTTATCTTGGCATTTTGGTTTTTAAAAAGCGGCTCTAATTTGTTGCTATCCAACTAAGGACCATTCCTGTCATGCACATGGGGAGCAGGTTGCCTATTGAAGACTTTAGTAATGACATTTGCTGTTCCTCTGATTTGAAATTTCTCTTTCTTGTTCTTTTCCCTGGCAGCGGCCCTTCTCAGCATCCCTGGCTTTGTTGAACGGCTCTGCAAGCTGGCGACACGAAAGGTGTCAGAGTCAACAGGCACAGCTAGCTTCCTTCAAGAGTTAGAGGAGTGGTACACATGGCTAGACAATGCTTTAGTACTGGATGCCCTGATGCGAGTGGCCAACGAGGAATCTGAGCACAGTCAAGGTACTTAGAGTGGGTTCCCTGGGTCCTCCTCTGAGTCAAAGAACTGCAGACCAGTATTTCATGTGAGTATGGAATATGAAGGATTCCTAGTGTGGGGCTGTAGGATAACCACAAGGTGAGTGGTTCAAACCCACCCGCCACTCCTTACAAACCCTATTCAGGGTCATTTTGAATTGGAACCAACTCGACAGCACTGAACAGCAGCAACAACATGGAATATGAAAAGAGATGCAAAAATCCTCAACCATATCTAGCAATAGAAAAAGGATTATGCACTATGACTAAGTGAGATCTATCCCAGGAATGCAAAATTGATTCAACATAAAATCAATTAATGTAATAAACCATATCAATAGACTGATCATCTCATTAGATGCGGAAAAAACATTTCACAAAATCCAACATTCCTTCATAATACAGTCATTCAGCAAAATAGGAATAGAAGGAAATATCCACTACGTGACGTACGGCATCTGCATAACCACAGAGCTGACCTCATGCTTAGACTTAAAACTTTCCCCCTCAGGTTAGCCTTCAGACAAGAATGTCCTCTCCTGCCACTTCTGTTTCACATTGTTCTGCAGGCTCTGGCTAGGGCATTAGGCAATAAAATGAAATAAAAGTCATGTAGATAAGAAAGTGTGGTGCTGTAGGATAAAGCATTGGACCACAAGGTCAGTTTGAACCCCAAGATTGGTGGTTCAAGCCCACCAACTGCTCCTTGGATTCCTCGTATAGTAGGATCACTCTGAGTCAGAATCAAAGCTCAGAAAGGAAGTGAAGCTCGGTCTATTTATAAATGACATGAGTGTGTTTTTAAAAAGTAAGGAATCTATTAAAAAACTGGTAAGCTAAAAAGTGGTGTTAACAAGATTACAGGGTGCAAGATCAGTATACAAAAACCAATTTTTATAAATTTGTTAGATGCCATCGAATCAGTTTTGACTCATAGAGACCTTGTGTGTAACAGAACGAAACACCACCCGGTCGTACACCATTCTCTCATTTGTTACATTTGAGCCCATCGCTGCTGCCATTGTGTCAGTATATCTCGTTAGGGGGTCTTCCTCTTTTTCACTGACCCTCCACTTTACCAAGCATGTTATTTTTCTCCAGGGACTGGTCTCTCCTGGTATATGTCCAAAGTATGAAAGACAATGTCTCAGCATGCAGGCTTCTAAGGAGCATTCTGACTGTACATCTCTCAACACAGATTTGTCTGTTCTTCTGGCAGTCCATTGTTGTTGATATTGTTAAGTGCCCTTGAGTCAGTTCTGACTCATAGCAACACTGTATAGAGTTTCCAAGGAGTGGCTGGTGAACTTGAATCATCAACCTTGTGGTTCAAACCAACAGTGCAGTCCAGTGCATTAACCTACAGTGCCACACCAGGACAGTAATACTTTTAATATTCTTCTGCAACACCATAATTCAAGTGCATCATTCTTCCTTGTTATTTGTCCAACTTTCACATGCATATGAAGCAATTGAAAATACCATGGCTTGGGTCAGGCACACCTTAGTCCTCTGACATTTTTGCTCTTGAACACTTTAAAAAGGTCTTGAGCAGCAGATTTGCCTAATACAATATGTTGTTTAAATTTTTGACTGCTGCTTTCATGAGTATTGATTGTGGAGCCAAGCAAAATGAAGTCTTTGACTTCAATCTTTTCTCCATTTATCAAGATGTTATTTATTGATCCAGTGGTGAGAATAAAGACTCTATGTAGTCTTTGATCTTCATCAGAAAGTATATGAAATCTTCTTCACTTCCATCAGGCAAGGTCGTATATCTGCATATTGCAGCTTGTTAATGAATCTTCCTCCAATCTTGATGCCTTGTTCTTCATATAATCCAGCCACCCAGATTATTTGCTCAGCATGCTGATTGAATAAGTGTGGTGAAAGGATACAACTCTGGCACACACCTGTCCTGATTTTAAACCATTCCGTATCCCCTTGTTCTGTTCTAACAACTATCTGTTGGTCTAGACACAGGTTCCTTGTGAGCACAATTAAGTGTTCTAGAGTACCCGTTTTTCTGTTATCCATAGCTTGTTAAAAACTTTTGCATTTCATTGAAACAGACAAACGTTTTTCTGATATTCTCTGCTTTGCCATGATTCATCTCACATTAGCAATGGTACTCCTAGTTCCATGACCTCTCCTGAATCTAGCTTGAATTTTTGGCAGTTCTCTGTTGATGTACTGTTAAAAAAATTTTTAAATTATCTTCATCAAATTTTTTACTTGCATATGATATTAATGATAATGTTCAATGATTTCCACATTCTGTTGGGTCACCTAGTTTTGGAATGAGCACAAATATGGATCTCTTCCAGTCACTTGGCCAGATAGCTGTCCTCCAGATTTCTTGGCATAGAGGAGTGAGTACCTCCAGTGCTGCATCAGTTTGTTGAAAGATTTCAGATTTTTTTACTTGAATTTTATTCAGGAATCAGTTTGATTTTTGTTTGAGGTCCATGTGTATAGTTGCTTTTTATTTTGTTGAAAAAAGGTATTTGCAGTGAATAACTCGTTGGTCTTGGCAAAATTCTATCATGCTATCAGTTATATTTTCCAACTACTGAATTTGCCTCAGTTTCCAGCCTTCACAATCCAATCACCAATAATTATTAGTGCATATGTGATCAGTTTCAGACTGAAGATGTTCATAGAATTATTTAATTTCATCATCACTGGCTTTAGTGATTGGTGCATAAATTTGAATAATAATAGTATTAACTGGTCATGCTTGTTGTTGTTGTTAAGTGCCTTCGAGTGGATTCCGGCCCGTAGCGACCCTGTATAGGGTTTCCAAGGAGCAGCTGGTGAGCTTGAACTGCCGACCTTGCAGTTCAAACGGCTTTTCAGTCTGGCTCATTAACCCACAGTACCACACCAGGACTGCGGTCTTGCTTGCTGTTGTTATGATGTGCCGTGGAGTCGGTCCTGACTCATAGTGACCCTGTACAGGGTTTCCGAGGCTGTAAATCTTTATGGGAACAGAAAGTGTAATCTTTCTCCCACGAAACAGCTGGTAGTTTCGAACTGCTGACCTTGCGGTTTGCAGCCCGATTCGTAACCACTATGCTACCAGAGGTCCTTTGGTCTTGCTTATAGGCATATAAATATTATCTTATCACAGACAGTCTTGTGCTTTAGGATAGATCTTGAAATGTGCTTTTTGACAATGAATGCAGCACCACTCCTTTTCCTTCCTGGCATAGTATGCCATAAAGATTGATATCCAAGGCATTAGGGAGCTGAAATGGATCATTTTGAAATGGATATGATTGTCTAATTCAAAATGGCCACTGCTGATCCATTTCAGCTAACTAAATGCCTTGGATATCAATCTTTATGCATTCCATTTCATTTTTGACAGCTTCCAATTTTCCTAGATTCATACTTTGTACATTCTATCTTCAGTTTGCAGCTGTTTCTCTTTGTTTTGAGTTGTGTCCCATCAGCAAATGAAGGTCATGACAACTTCACTCTGTTCACATCCTTATGGTCAACTCTCCTTCGAGGAGGCAGTTCTTCTCAGTTGTATTTTGAGTGCCTTCCAACTTGAGGGGGGGTTTCATCTTCTAGCACTATATCTGACAATGTAATGCTGCTATTCATGTTTTCTTCTGGCACCATAGCTCACAGTGTTCCACAGCTATTCTTCCGGTTTTACAAAGTAGCAATGTACAAACTGAACACAAAATCAAAGCAGTTCCATTTACAATAGCATTATAATTTCATTACACTCTACAGATAATGACAAGTTTGTCTTGAAATTCATATGGAAATGTAAGTAACCCAGAATAGTCTAGGCAATCCTGTTTGGGGATTGCTTTTATCTTGAAAATGATCATCTGGATGTTGCTAGATTCTGTCAAGTTGGTTCTGTCACAGCGACCATATGTACAACAGAGCAAACCACAGCCCAGTCCTACACCATAGTCATAATGGTTGCCATGTTTGAACCTATTGATACAGCCACTGTGTCAGTCCACCCATTGGAGGGTCTTCTTGTTTTCATTGCCCCTCTACGCAGCATGACGTTGTTCTCCTGTATCTAGTTGTTCCTGATGTATGTCCAAAGTACATGAGACAGTATCTTGCCATCCTCGCTTCCAAGAAGCTTTCTTCCAAGACAGATTTGTTTGTTGTTTTGGCAGTCAGTCCATGGTAAAATCGATATTCTTCACCAACGCCATAATTCAAAGGCCTCAATTTTTCTTTTGACTTCCTTATTAATGTCTAGCTTTTGCATTCATATGAAGGTAATTGAAAATACCTTGGCTTGGTCAAGCACATCTTAGTCTTCAAAGTGATATCTTTACTTTTTAAAACTTTAAAAAAGAGGTCTTTTGCAGCAGATTTAATCAATGCAGTACGTCCTTGATTTCTTGATTACTGTTTCTGTGAACATTGATTATGTATCCAAAGTAAAATGAAATTCTTAACAGCTTCAGTGTTTTCGCCATTTATCATGACATGGTTACTGACTGAGTTGTAATATTTTTTTTTTGAGTTATAATCCATACTCAAAGCTGTAATATGTGTCTATTAAGATCGTGTTTACTAAATGCAGAAAAAGCATTTCACAAAATCCAACCCCCTTTATGATAAACTAGGAATAAAAGGAGACTAGAAAATGTTTATTTTTATGATTCTTAGGAACTTTAATTTTTATTTGATCTTCTGCTCTGAAAAATTCTATTTATATGATTCTTCTTCAGTGTTTATTATTAAAGTGCTAAGGTAATCTTAAAACACATAGTGGGATTCCCATCTGGCATGCAGATTACCACTGTCAGCTATTTGGCTGTGAACATTATCAGAGCATCTCTGTCCATTTCAGCCTTTGCTGGGCATATTGATTTTGATTTTTCAAAATTGTGTACCTAATATCAGTATTGGAGTCCTGGTGTGGTGCTGTGGCTTAATGTGTCAGACTGCAAAGCCATTTGAACTGCAAGGTCGGCAGTTCAAGCTCACCAGCT